GGAAAAGGAACCAGAACACCCAATTGAGAATTTAAAAGGGGGTTTTTACTGGCTGGATGGCAACTGTTCCTCCAAAAACAGTCTTGGAAGGAAGCAGCCCTGAGTTTAAATTTAAGGGGTCTTTTAAAGGCACATAGTCACACAGGCGAAAAATCATATAGTCACATACTTACAGTTATAATATCAAAAATCATATACACCCATACGTACATACCCTACTGGCGGGAGGAGGAGGCTTGGGGAGGCCTAGCGCAAGCTGAAAACAGAAGCTGAAAGAAGCCAGTTAATCACTCAGGGACGGCAAAAACTTCTCCAAACTTCCACAGGGTGGTTTCCTCCTTAGGTTGTCTAGATACCTCCGGATACAGCTCTAGGTGTTATCAGTCAGGGACAGCATAGGTGGGAAACAGCAAAGGCAGGAAGAACTAAAAATTTTTCTAAGAACAGGACAATTTTTAACCTTCAATTTTCACCACAGGTGTTGGGGGGCTTCCAAACAAGAACACTTTTCAAACAGTAAAAATGGCATAAGCTAAATCAATCTGCCTCGTCACAGTTATTAATTATTGATTCAATTTCTTTAGTAAATACAGGCTTATTCAGATTATCTCTTTCTCCTTGTGTGAGTTTTGGTAGTTTGTGTCTTTCAAGGAATTGGTTCATTTCATCAAAGTTACCAAATTTGTGGGCATAGAGTTGTTCATAATATTCGTTTATTATCCTTTTGATGACCATGGGATCAGTAGTCATGATCCCTCTTTCATTTCTGGTATTAGTAATGTATGACTTCTCTATTTCTTGGTTAGCCTGGGTAGAGGTTCATCAATTTTATTGATCCTTTCAAAGAACCAACTTTTGGTTTCATTGATTTTCTCACTATTTTCAATCTCATTGATTAATACTTTCATTTTTATTATTTTTTCCTTCTGCTTGCCTTAGATTTATAATGCTCTTCTTTCTCTACTTTCCTAAGGTGGAAGCTTAGAATATTGATGTTAGATTTTTCTTCCTTTACAATATATGCATTTAATGCTACAAATTTCCCTGCTCTTGCTCTATCCCACAAATTTTTTAAGTTTTATTTCATTTAGTTCAAAATATTTTTAATTTATTGTGAGACTTCCTCTTTGACTCATTTTTTATTTACAAGTATTTTGTTTATCTCCAAATATGTGGGATTTTTCATCTACTTGTTTTTAGCTTATTGTTTCATAGTGTCATTTTAAGCAGTTGTATAGCATTTTGTTACATAGATATGTCATAATTTAGGTAATAGGACTTTTAGACTTTTTTGCTATTATAAATAATGCTATAATAAATGTCCTTGTACACAAGACTTTGCAACTGCAATGAAGTGTAAGTGTTTTACTAAAGGAGGTTTCCAGTTGCTGTGATGGTAAATAGCAGGAACACTTATGGAGCTAGGGAGCTTAAGAAAGCCTTCCTCAAAGGAAACTATTTAAGCTAAGAGTAAAGTAGTTGGTATGGGGAAGCTAGGTAGAGAATATTAGACAAGGAAGGACTGGAAGAAGATAAGGAAAAGGTTGGAGTTTGGGGTGGGGAGAGGAATAGTGTGGAGGATGACTTATTTGAGGAAGTGAAAAAAGTTCACTGGTGGAACAAAATGTTTGGGGTCAGGGGAGTGGCAAGGAAATGAGGCTAGAAAGGTAAACTAGACCTAGTTCATGTAGAGTCCAACAAGCCACATTGAACAGTTGGACTTTACCTTGAGAATAACAGGGAGCCACTGAAGGATTTTAAGCAGAGGGAGTGACATGATTAGATTGTGATTTAGAAAGAGCACTCTAGCTGCTATGTAAAGGATGGATTGGAAAATAGGGAGCCTTATCAATCCACAGATTTCTTAATTTTATTCACTGGCAGAACTTGTTTATTTGTTAGTCTTTTATTTTTCAAACTCTCTCTATATATATCAGTTAATTTCTAACATATTCGTAAGTTGCTCTTTTAATTTTGACTTCCTATTTTTCAATTCCAGTTTTCAACTCTCAAATTTTACTGCAGATAACTCAAGGGTTTTTTTTAGTTCCAGCAAATTAAAACTTCCCTTTCAGTTCCAAGGCTTATCTCTTAGTCTGGTCCCTTGATCAGAAATTGAGAATGAGGGCCGAGCCCGTGGCACACTTGGGAGAGTGCGGCGCTGAGAGCGCAGCAGCGCTCCCGCTGCGGGTTCGGATCCTATATAGGGATGACCGGTGCGC